TTGCACCCTGGCTAGGAGGTTTGAACACATCGTCTCTAACTGAAGGAATTGTTCATCACAGCGACGAGAGTGTGGCTCAGCTCCGAAGACATGTTTAGTTAGCACCGAAAAGTCCATAGATCATAATTACTGGATTCACCAACTGCCTGTCCCCTAGTGACCAGCATTGGCCCGTCTGTCTTTATCTCCAACCAAAGGGCTTCAGAAACACAACTCGGCCCCTCACCCAGGCCCCAAACATGCAGTGACAGCCAGCAAACAGCATCTTTTTAAAGGAATGCTACCTGTCCAAATGGAAAACCCAGAACTGAGCCACCTCACTGCATCAGGAAATTTGTTTCCAGAGTGGAGACATCGTCACCAACAATCTTCTAACACTGCGGGGACTGCGGCCTGGCTTCTGCCAAACCGAGCGGCCAGGTGTCAGAGCAACACGTGGGTCTTAGATACATGTATCTCTCGCTTCCTTCCTCCCTCCCTCCCATTGTGTATGGTATCTGTACATGTGTGTAATGTACACATATGTAGATGTAAGTGTGGAGGCGAAGGTCAGTGCTAGGTGCCCTCTATTGTCTTCTGCCTTTGTCATGGTTGGACACATCTGGGAAGAGAATCTCATTTGGGGAATTTTCTCTATTGGTTGGATTGCCCTGTGGGTGTATCTGTGAGGTATTTTCTTGATTGTTGAGTGATGTGGGAGGGCCCAGCCCACTGGGTGGTGCCACCCCCGGGCAGGTGGGCCTGAGTTGTATAAAAAAGCAGGTTGAGCACAGACCAGGAGAGTAAGCTGGTGAGCAGTGATCCTCAGTGGTCTCTGCTTCAGCTCCTGCTCTCTGCTCTCTTCAGGTTCCTATGCTGAGCATCCTGCCTGGGCTTCCCTCAGTGATGGACTGTGATGGGGTTGTGTAAGACAAACCAACCCTTTCCTCCCCAAGTTGTGTTTGGTTAGAGTGTTTTATCACAGCAACAGAACCTGGAGTGCAGGGATTTGGCTCTGCAGACTGGGTAGGGAGCGCCTGGCATTCTCCTGCCTCTGCTTCCCTGGTCCTGGGATTAGGTACACTACTTAGCTGCTGAGAACTGAACTCAGGTGTTCATGCTTGTGTGGCGAATACTTTATTGACTGAGCCATCTCCCTAGTTGCTAAAGACCAGTTTCCTGATCTTCTGAGGTAGAGCTACATGACCCATCTTAGAGTAATCTGGAACAGGTTGGAAGGAATGCCTACAGGGGTCAGGAGGTCTGGTTTTGTGCGTAACAAGTGGAGAAGGCCTGCCAGAAAGGTGGCTGGGCCTAGCGAACATCTGCCTGATGGCCTGTGATCGCCCCACCTTTGATGGGTAGTAGGGGAGGCTTGTACAGTACCTTGAGCACCGAGAAGCACACTCTGAAATGTGAACCTTCCTAAATAGTTTTTGGCGTCATAAGCTTTTGAAAAAGTACTGCCTAGGAGTCAAAAGAAAGACAAACTGATTTCGTTTGCCATGCCCAGCGGGCTCTGCGAGGATCCAGAGGACAGCGGCTCCTCCTCTACCCTCCCCTCTTTCCACCGGTCAGTCCTGTAGCATGGCTTCCTGGGGTCAAGTAACCGGAAGTACGGTGGCTGGCTACGGTAGGCACTGCGTTGGCAGGGTTTGGCTCGCAGCGATTGCTTGTTAACATTTGATCCATCTTGGTAAAACAGTACCATCTGGGGTGTGTGAGGCAGAGTTCTGGTGGAAACCTGACTGGAATAGACGTGTGTGTGTGTGTGTGTGGTCACTGTAACCATTCTTCTGTAGGATGTTTCTATAATCTTGATAAACAATGATCTCTCTCACTTTGTATGTGATGTTTGGGAAGGCACATATGTATGCAAGTGCATGTATACATGTGTGCGCAAGCAGGTATGGGGGTCAGAGATGACATCAGGTGAGTTCCTCAATCACTTTCCATTTTACTGATGTGGGGTCTCTGGTTGAATCTGGACCCAGCCAATTCCAGCCCGTCTAGGGAGCCAGCTCGCCCTGGGACTCCCTGCCTCTGCCCCGAGTGTCGGGATAACTGATGTCTCCCATGGCCGCCCGGCTGAGTTCTCGGGATCCTCCTGACTTCATGCTCGCACTACAAGCACTTTTTCCATTGAGCCAGCTTCCCAGACCTCAACACTGATCCGCAGACAGTGCAGGGGTTTCCAAGCAGGATCCCCTGGTCCTCTGAGGGCAGCTACAGAGCAAGCACAGCCAAGAGGGAGGTGCATCCCCAGGTGGGAATGCCTGGCTTGCAAATGGGCCATCAGACTTCGGTGGCTGACGATTCATTTATTTCCCATTTTTCTGAATGTGTCCGTGTGAGTCCCTGTGGCCTCTGAGCGCTCTGTACCGGCATCTCACTCCCTTGCAATTCCTGGCTTTCCCTGTCTCTCATTCTCCAATCACATCTGGCTCATGTCTCTCCACAGAGGTCTTACCGAAGGAAGGAGGTTTTCCTTCACTACAGACTTGGATTATTTCCAGCATTTATTCCGAGTTGGAAAACACACACGAGCTGTGCAATTACTGAAAGCAAAGGCGCCGGCCGCCTTCACGCCGGCTCTGTTACCCTGCCGTTACCCCAGGAGGACATGTGCAGAGCCTGGCTGACGTCCAGCTCCCGTCTTTAGCAGCTGTGGGTCATCCAGCCCAGCACAGCTTTGGAGTAAGGCACAGCCTGGGCTGTGAGTCAGATGGCCTGGCCTTCAACTCTGGTGCTCACCCATCATTTATGTCCTTAAATCTGTCCCTCTGTTTCCTCAAGAGAGGATGGTGACAGCCCATTGGGAAGAAGGTACGAGAGGCTGCATATGCCATGGCCAGTTGATGCCCCTTATTATAATTGAAATTTCAGTACAGAGTAGCTGAGTCATAAGTTCCTGTCACTCAAACTTCCAATGTGTTCTGAGTTGTCTCTGTTCCACGCACCTGTGTGGTGGAAGGGATGGTGGGAGCACTGTTGATGGACAGATCACATCACCTCTCTGGGCCTTGTTTTCAAATGGGGGCTCTGACCATTGTCTTCAGACAATCATGGAATTTTTGTATGTGAACTGGTGACATTTGGTTGTGTACTCTGAATCTACAGGGCGATGGTCTGTAAGTCTCCGAGATAAAATTTTCCTCAACAAACACTACTGTCCAGATCTCTTTAAAACTTTATCTGAACTTGTACAAAGACTCTTTAAAGTTCCTCAGGGCCAAGACACCTGATAAGTAAACACCAGCCATGGGATCTCTCTTCCTTAAGGTCAGATTTGGCTACATATACATCTCTGCATACATTGTTATCTAAATTTTGGACAACCACTTAAAATTCTTTAATACTTTTTAATTGCTCTTTGAATAGAGATGAAAATCCTTTACAGAATCCTGACGTTGCTCCCTAGTGTCGGCATAACCTCTTTCCTCCTTTAAGCTTGTCGTGCTCACCACAGTGCCTTTGAACAGGCGTCCTTTACCTGGACTGCTCTTACACCCTCCTCTCACTTTGCCTTGTTGGCTTCTGAGAATATGAGGCCTCAGCTGGAAGGAAGCACCTGGGAAGCCTCTCCCAGCTCCACCTGCCCTGCCGCCCCGCTGGACCTCTGTACCTGGTTGAGTTGAAGATCTTGCTCTCAGTGTCCTGTGCTTTGGATGGATTCAGTGATTGATTTTCATGTCTTTATCTTCATGGACCTGTGCTGCTCAAATCTGAGTTGATATTTTCCTTAAATTCCAGAAAACCCTTCAAAATAACACCTCTCCACTTGGAAACCATAGTGGATTTTTTGTCCTGTTTTCTGTATCTCTGTGTGTTATCCTGAAGAAATTTTTTTATTGAATTTTTGTGTATTTCATAGAGAACATCTTAATCCTCCTTACACCCCCTTCCCCACAGGCCCCCTCTCACAGTGCCGCCCCCTCAAATTCATACATTTTGTCATTTGCGTTGAGGCTTATAATGTCAAGTTAGCGTCCCCAGATGCTTCTCAGTGCAAGCTTACCCACTGGGGTCTAGTCAGCCTATCTAGAATCCCTCCCTTTAAGAAGATCAGCTCTTCCTCACTCAGTAGTAGTCAGCTGCCAATAGTTCTTCAGCTAAGATTGGGGCCTCCTGTCCATTTCCCCAGTTCTGCACTGGGTTTTTGTCTGCTTGAGTCTGTATGGGTATCGTGCTTGCTACGCCATTGCTGTAGGTTTGTGTGAGAAGGGTCCCAGGTGCCTGTAGGACTCTTATTTCTGTATGGTCACACACCTCCTCCCTGGCTCTTACAATCTTTCTGCCCCCTCTTTTGCAATGGTCCCTGAGCCCTGGGTGGGTGGACCTCACTATAGGAGTCCTGTCCAAGGACCAATGCTCTGCAGACTCATATTCTCTGCGATTTGGCTATTTGTGACCTTTTGTGTTCCTGACCCTCTGTTGCATGAGGGAGTTTCACTGATGAGAACTGAAAGATGTTCTCTTCATCCCTTGTTCTACGTTCTGGGAACCTTAGCTGTAGAGGCTGTATCCTAGATGTGCCACTTAGGCTTGGGCAATTCATAGACAATCTCTGTGTGTGAGTGACTAGTGGTTTAACTGTAATAATCTGTTGAAAAAGAAGTTTCTTTGATGAATGGTGACTGTGTACTTCTCTGTACTTTGTCTGTAAATTTAAGGATCTATATTTTGCACATAGTAAGAAATCACATTTGTCTAGGGGTGTGACAGCCTGGGGGTTTTCTCTAAGACCCACGATCTCTCCAGTCACGTGTACTTGGCTAGGTTTACAGTACCACACAAGAGTTTTCTGCCATGGAGTGGGCTTTAAGTCCAATTAGGTATCTGCTGATTACCCACAAGATAAAAGTCCCACTACTGCACCCATGTCCTTTGCTGTGCTGGCCAATGATGTGGTTCTCAGGCCTTGAAGCTGGGGCTGGACCATTGACTGATGTTCTCCCTTAGCAGCTTGTATAGTGCTCTCCAAAGCTATGAGAGCTGGCCTTCAGAGGAGGTGGCTTCCAGGTCAGTCTGAAGAAATTTCTGGTTCCCATCCCTAGGACAGTCCACCAATTCTCTCTTTGGTTTTAGCTAACTTGTTGTGCACCACTCACACTGAGATTTTATATGGATGGATAGATATATTTTTATTTCTGTAAATTCCAATTCAAGCTCTATCATGTGTGCCTCATCTTTAATGAGTATGTATTTTATTTAAAGACGTTTCTGATTAATATCTTAGTTTTACTGCTGACTCTTGCAAATGTGGAGTGTCATTTTTTTTTTACAATTTTGTTCTGTTTGGGGTAGTTCCAAAATCATTAGCTTATGTTTTTCACTGTGTTTTGATTTAGTTATTTCTCCTTTTGGTCCTGGAGCTCTTGTAGCTATGTGTTATCCAGCATATCCTCACGTCTTATAGTGGCAATTCTGTTCTCTCTTATTGCTGGAAATAGGTGTTCTTCTATAATAGACTATCCCAGAATCCTTCACAAAATCATTAAAACATTAAGTGATGATAAGCTGTCTAATGTCCATCTCCACTGCCATGGCATAGTTATGTGTGAATAGCGTTTTGCTCAGAATGGTGTATCTATGCAAGCACCCAGAATAATGGACCTCAGCATCATGGTGCAGAATGAAGCCAGGCAGAGGTGGCCGTGGCTGTCATGTCAACATGGGTCAGGAGCCCCTCCTTCCATCTGTAGCCTTTTAAACCTATCCTACTCTTCCTAGAAGGTGTTTTCCTTCCTCATAGGTGACTTAATAATCATCACTTTTCTATGGAGTTTATACCATTTGATCCTTGACCTCAGGAGGGCTAGGATGATGATTCTCTTTACAGATAGAAAAACTAAAGGGTGGGTAATGCACTGTCTTCCCTTCTGCAGGATGGTAGCAAATTCTAGAATGAGCTGTGCTCTGCACCATCTGATTCCGAGTACACAGCCCTCTTCCTTCGCCATTAGCATGAGCATCAGACTTTCCTTTTGTGAAAGTAAAGTTTCCTTGTCTCTTTGCTGACCAACCCTGATCTTTCTAAAGAAACGTGTGTCCAGGGAGAAACATAGGCTGTGCTAATGGGTTCTATCCATTAGGGTTATTTTTGTGATTTGAGCAGGTCTGGAGGCCCAAACTCCTGAATTTTTCATTTGGACAATGCATTTCCACTTCTCTTGACACACATTACAAACCATCTCCTGTCAAAGAATCCATATTGCTGGAGAACCCTGATTGCGGCTACTGGATGCAGGCTGTCTGATAAAGGATGGGGTGTGACAGATCACATGACAGAATCACTAGGGTCATGGACATTTAACACGTAGGGAATGAGGGGGAAGGACACACGGGCAGTGACAGTCACAGCAAGCTGAGGCCCCAGGGTCAGTTTCCAACCTCAGGGCTGAAGGTCGCAGATGAGTGGAATGTTCCAGGCCCACAGGCATAAGAACTCCTCTGAGAGGCCTGGCTTCTGCACTGGGGCCTGTGGCAGACAGCAGCTTCTTCCTGGGGGAGGGAGGGAGGGTGCAGGAAGAAAGCAGGTCTGGGCTACTTACCTGAGGGCAGACCCCTTGGGCGTGGCGATGCCGTAGCCTTTGGAATCCAAGTTACCTCCCACTTTCATGGTGTCACAGGGCTTCCGCTGCTCAATGTACTCGTTCATGGTGGACTCCAGGAGATAGGCGTATTTGCCTTTGGATTTCCTCACTCGGATCATCCCCTCCTCTGTGGTCCGCACAAACACAGATGGTTCTGCGGACTTCATGTATGTCCACATCTTCTCAAACACAGCAATTTTAGATCTCTGGCAGGAGATAGAAACAGCCCTGGTTAAGCGATGGCTGTGCTTGAATGGGGTCGGCACCCACATCCGTGAGGAGCCGAGCACAGCTTGATCACACACTCATGAGGCAGATTAGCTCAGGAAGAAACAAATTATGAGTGATTGCAAAATAAGGGACTCTAATGAGCACTAGTAGGTTCCAAGCTACAAATATCGTGCAAATATAGAATGAACAAATACCTCAGAATCTTTTACCCACTTGCGGGTAATGACATTCAACTATATTCTTTCTACATAGGGGAAAGATGAGAAACGGGGTCCTTATCTGGCTTTTAAAGGCATTGCAGAACTGTGTATAGTTCAGTAAGGGCATGCGTACACTGCCCCAAAGAAGCAGAGGGCTGATTGTCAGTGGGATCTGACTTCACTACACACTGTAAAGAAAAAACTCCCACAAAATAACAAAACAACGGAAGATAATCACCACCATCCACTAGCGTGGGTTGCCAACTTCCTGTCATTCCCTATTACAGAACCTGCCCTCCAAATGTAAATTGTCTGATGACGTCTGAGAGCAATAATCTTCACCTGTTCACATTTTAAAAGCTTCCAAATCAGGGCTGCAGAGATGGCTCTGTTAGAGTGCTTGCTATGCAAGCATGAGGATCTCAGTTCAGGTCTCAGGCACCCACATGAAATGCCTAGTGTGGCACAGCATGCCTGTGATGCCTGTTCGGGGAGGCAAAGACAGGCATGCATATGTGTACACACCCTGCCTCCGAATCTAGTTAGCTTCCTCATTCTGAACCCAGCTTGAGTCTTTCCTTTGGGGTTTTTCCTGGATTGTATAATCTACTTGATCATCTGGTTTTGTCCAACGCATGTCCTCTTGTCGGACCAGTAGGCCCTTTCAGGCTGTATCGACCAGGACCACAGGGCAACCCTCTCATCTCACAGGATTTTTCTAAAGGAATCCTTTGCCCAAGGCTTTTGATGTTTTTTCTTCCTTTCTTCGTGTGTGTGTGTGTGTGTGTGTGTCTGTGTCTGTGTGTTTGTGTCTGTATGTCTGTGTGTGTGTGGTGTCTGTGTGTGTGTGGTGTGTGTGTACACACGTGCTGTGTGGGGTCCAGAAGTTGACTCCTGGATCTTCTATCGCTCTCTCTACCTTCCTTATCTGAGACAGAATCTTCTAAACCTGGAAGTTGTTGATTGCCTAGGCTGGCCACCAAGCTCCAGGGATCCCCTGTCTACCTTTATGTGGATTACAAGCCTTTGCTGCCACACCCAGCTCTTTACCTGGGAGCTGGGGCACTCAGCTCAGGTCCTAGTGCAGGAACCACCTAACCCACTGACCATCTCTCTAGCCCTGAGGCTTTTGAAAATGCTTTTCAAATGACAAGTGCTAAATGTGTATTAAGGGCTTTTTAAAAAGGACAGTCACTAAAAATGACATACAACCTACATAAGTGGTTACTAAATGAATTACATATTTATTTAATATGGAATTATTACACATGCAACATATTTTTCTCTGGGCACTAGTATTGGGCTCGTTCCCTTCCTGTCAAGCGGCATGAGCTGTTAAATGACATCTTAATACCCAATTTTCACCAGAGCCAACTGGTCTATAAAATATTTCAAGCCCAGAAAAATCCTAGATCTTGAGTTAAAAATCCTGGAAATTGTTAGACTTTGGGGAGGCATTTGGTACAATGAGCTTAATTTTTGATGGTCCATCATTATGCAAACTAGTTCATTTGTTCCATGGTATGGCTGGGCAGGATGCTGGGCTGGCCAGACTTGCTCTTACTGCTAAGTCTTGGTTTGTTCTGTGGAACCCCTTCTCTTTGGGCTCCATTTTTCCCTTTTGCTTCATAAGGAGTTTGAGCACAGTAATTCTTACGTATCTTGCTAACGTGAAGTACCTGATTCTGACATACAAGTCAGGCCATGTGTCCATGTGTGAGAAGAGAGGGAGGGGAGGGAGGAGATACCCATACCCAGTCCTAGTGAGTGCAGGATACTTAACAGTCTCATAGGAAACTGGAGAAATGCTCAAACTCTGTGTGACCAAAGGATCTTCCAGGAACATAACCAGCAACACACAGAGCAGGGCCACTGTAGACTGTAAGATGCAATCTGACCTGACAGGATGGGCACAGCAGGGACCAGGCTGCAGAGCTGGAAGTCCTGTGGCAGCAGTATGCAGAAAATGATCACATCCTTTCAGCCATTCTCCCAGAATGTGCTCACAGGAGCTCAGGGGACCATCTGGTCAACCTAATCTCCAAGACCACTGAGGGAAGGAATTTGGCAGAGAAGCCTGGACTGGCACTGGGGAATTGTTCTTGGACCTCTCCTGCTCTGGCCGCTCCTGCTGCCCTGCACACATCTTAATTAAACCGTCTATGGAGAATTCCTTGACTCTAGGCTGGGGCTGTGTTGAAGAAGTGGAGGGTAGGGGCTTCATGTCTCTTCCTTCTTTCTGCCTTGATGATGTCTCCTCATCCACCAAAGTCTTGGTGGGATGTCAGCCACAGACATGCAAGGGCTCATGGGACATCTCTTAGTAGTGTTTTTGTTTTTTGTGTTTTTTTTGTAGGCGAAGAAACTGGGGCTCAGGATGCCGCAGTGAACTCTGCCAAATCCTGCATGGGGGAAGTAGGCCTGGCCTCCTGGTGGCACGTTGGTGTCTTTCCATAGCCAGCTCCCTCCCTCATGTTGGGGCTTCTATCTGAGCAGCTGCAGGGGTTTGGACTAATAACCTTTCTGAGCCTGGCTGTTCCTCTTTAGGCAGTGGTGGCAACAGTTGCCGTGGACACTGTTGCCATGGAGATAACGTGAGAACACAGGTAAACAAGCACTTGCTTGTTGCCTGGATCAAGGGAAGCTTATATAGTTGTGATATTACTACTGATATTTGTGTAACTTTTTCAGGTTTTACTTTAGAGTTGAGATGCTCAATACATGGCTTGCTTGTTACCAGGCACTGACAGCAGTCAGAGAATGCTTTGACAAAGGGCCCTTTAAGGGCCTGGGCCCTATCCTCCTCTGTCTGTCCTAACTGCCTTCAATACAAAGGCCTCACCACCACCACACTCCCACGTGGGACGACTTAACAGATCCCTTATCTGGTGACTCTTCTCCCCCCTAGATTATTTTATTCATCAAGGAAACACTGTTTCCTGTTGTCAGGCAGGGATGGGAGTTAGGAGCAGGCAACCCCTTTTGTAGGCAGAAAGAATTACAGTCCCAAGGAAAACAGACTGTCCATCTCAACTGGTAGTTACCTCCAAGAGCACAGAGGTTTTCCAGCAACCTTGTGGTGGCAATGGGAATTTCCTGACAATGTAGTGGCTGCAGAGATGCCCCTGCAGATTATTACCTGTTACCCACCATACACACCTCACTGAAATCTGTGCTGGCCAAACTGCTATATTCTTGTGACCTTTTGTAATCACTTGCTTATTGTTAGAGCCCTAAGATGGCCACAGAGGCCTCTATCAAGAAAAACTTAAGCCTAGCATTTCTCAGAAACCTTGTGTCTCTAGGGCAAGGTGTATCAGGAATCTGCAGGCTCCTAAAATGGTGGCATAGCTCCCAGCATTCTAAAACGGCACATTTGAGCTTAGCACTGGGAAAGTCCCTCAGCTTATGGGGAGACCAACCAGTCCTGAGCTAAACTGCCCAGCCTACGTCATGGAAAGTGACACAGCCACCTAACTGCCTATAGAAGATATCTCACTGCCCCTACTTGCTGCTGTTCCTCTGCTCCCGAGAGGCAGCCCAGTGGTATGTTTGTTCTCAAATAACTTGCTGTCCCCCCCTGGAGTTGTCTCCCAGTGGTCTTCACTGCGCCTGCTTCCACACAGTCCCCAGCAGCTCAGTGGAACATCTGCTACCTCCAAGCTTGCGTCCTTGTGTCAGTTATGACCTCTTCCCCTGACTTTTCAGTATTTCCTCAATGTACCCTATGATCTGGCTGTTCTGGCCTATAGACTTCCCCCTCCACACAAGTCCTGGTAAAGACCCTGCTATACTTTTACTGGCCGCTCCTGACAGCTAGCCCAGAAGTTTGTCCTCTAATACACTGCTTTGTACCCCTGGCGTGGTTTTGTTTGGTGGTTTTTGCTATATGCTTCCATACACTTAAATAACCACTCACTTAACTGCTATGTAGATGCCTCTGAAACCCCCTGCTTAATGTCTGCATGCGTTAACTATAAATTTCCCTATAAACTTGAGCTCAGGGCTGGCACCATTCTGGAATAATCCAGGTGTCAGCTTGCTGGTATGAATAAACTTCCTCCCCTTCACCTGACTTGGCTGCTGGTCTCCTGACTCCCAGAGGTTCCGGCAACAAACTACCTAATCAGTGAATTCAGATACTAAAATCCCGGAAGCTCTGACTCATCAAGATGTTGAACCTGGGGTGTGGCATATGCCTTTAATCCCAGTGCTTGGGGGAGGCTGAGGCAGCAGACATAGCTGGAGAGGTCATAGAGCCTGGAGAAAACCCTACATCTGTCTGTCACAGCCCTAGGCAAATGTAATTTCTTACTGTGTGCTAAATATGTTTCCTTATTTTACAGGCAAGTACATTGGTCACTCTCATTGAAGAAGCTTCTTTCCGTAGCAGATGGAGACTATCACAGACTTCCACACCTGGTCATAGAGAATAAGTCTCTGTGGGATGCCCAGCCCTAAGTGACACATCTACAATGGACACTCTACACCCGTGGAACAGGGGCAGAGAGAACACTAGCGCATCTCTCCCCAGCGAAGCTTCCTCATGCAACAGACGGCCATGAACACAGAAGGCTAAAAGGGCCCAAAATGCAGAGACTAAGAGACTGCGTGTCCCTAGATCGGACTCATAGTAAACCTCGCCCACCCAGGGCTCAGAGACTATTGAGGAAGAGGGGAGGAAAGATTGTAAGAGGTGGAGGAGGTGCATGAACTTAAGGAGACAGAGGCTTTCAGACTTCTGGGAACTTGCTCAGATGAACTTACAGCCATGGTGACAGCATGCACAAGACCCATGCAAACTCCATCGGCCAAAAACCAGCACAGAGCTGGGGAAATGGACAGGAGGCACCAGCCTTTGCTGAGGAACTATGGGCAACTGATCACTGCTGGGTGAGGGAGGATCGATCTTCTTTAAGAGAGTGACACTAGGTAGGATGACTAGGCTCCAGTGGATGAACTCTCACCAAGAGACATTTGGGTACACAAATGACTGGCTAGACCTTAACATATGAAAGAATGTGTGAAATCCTGTGGGTGGGTTATGTGGGGGTCCACAGAGGGGAGGGGTCTAACTATGATTAAGGTGTATTGTAGGAAATGCACAAAAATTCAATAAAAAATATACATTGGAAAAAAAAGATGGCAGCTGCTCACCAGCGTCTGTTCCCCTGGCTCTTCCTGCCCTTCCCCTTGGGAACCTGGTGGGTCCCTACCGTGGTGTTTTTGGGCTTTAGTATTTCATTGAACCCATCATCAATCAGAATTTCCCATACATACAAATTGACCAATCAGATTTGTTCTACCTGGATGCCTAATTTACATACAGGAGGGATCAAATTGGTTCTTCCCAGATATCAAGGACCCTCACACCCAGGGAGCTACCTGGCAGCTCCAGACTCCTGCCTGTGCTGGGAGCTGCTTCTCTGAAAACATCCTGCTTTGTCCTGTCCTGCCCTGCCCTCCTCATTCTTTGCAATCATGAGACCATGAATTCAGCCAACTGGGTCAGGTGGAAATGCACAAATGCAGATTTCTTAGGGGTCTTGAAAGCAGAGAAACGTACAGACCAGGACCACCCGTAGGACAGAGAGCCTGTCTGGGAAGCTGCAGCCTTCTAAAATATCCCAGTGCCTGGATTCTAGGAGAACAGTGGGCATCCTAATTCTTCCCAAACATCATGGCTCTGGCTTCGGGATTCCAAGCCAAGTGTACCCCTCCTCCTATCCTCTTCCTCACCTCCCCCACATCCTCTAAGTCACACATTAACAAGATTCCTTTCTCCCCATGCAAGGCCCCTCCCCATCCCTGGTTGCCTGGGAATCAGAGACAGTCTGACTGCAAGGAGTACTGCGGGCCACTGGGCAACTCTCCGCATAAACTTCTTACAGGACAGTCTGCCTCTGTGTCCCCTGGAATCCCAGACCTGAGGGTCTCATACTTGCAGGCAGATACACAGTTACCCCTGCTGCCTGTAATCTCACACTCTAGCTTGTTTTGTGGTGCTTGGGATGAAACCCAAGGCTGCTCACTTGCTAGGCAAGCACTCCACTGTCAAGTCGCCCTTGCCCCAACCCTCACACTCTTTAATGAGAAGGGAAGTGTCGTGGAGTGGTGCGTGCTGTGAGGGTGCCTCTGGACAAGGGATGGACTCACCCTGAAGAATTCCTTGGTAGAGCCTGCTTCCAGGGTCCCGTAAGCAATTTCCGTCTGCTTTGCCAGGTCCTCTGCGCTCTCGATGGGAGACACCATCCTCTCCACCGTCAGGAAGGCGGCCAGGTTGGCTGTGTAGGAGGAGATGATGATCAAGGTAAAGAACCACCAGACGCCGCCCACGATGCGGCCGGACAGGGACCTGCGGACCAGACGGAAGAGGTGTCAGAGGCATGACCAGCAATCCACGAGGCTCCAGGGAAGGGCAGGGAGCCTCCAAGTTCTGTCAGCAGTGCTGTCAAACCCAGTTTCATCCTCTGCTCTATCAGCAAAATGTGAGAATTCAAGTTAGAGAGATGCCGCGTGTCCTTCCTGGCCGGTTTCTGCCCCTCGGGTGATAGCCCCCCACAGGCACATCCTCACTCTCACCTTATATGGACAGACACATCAAGACACATGTCAGTAATGACACAGATATGTGAGCACCTGACCACAGAGGTCTCAGACATGGGAAAACGCCCTTCCAAACGCACTCACACCTACACCGAATACCGGTGCATACATAAATGAGTGCAAATGCAATCACATATCAAGTTCCAGTACACATGACGCACACACAGTGGGTCAGAGATGAAGGACAGTCTCACCCTCTTCTCATGATTACCCTCCTGGCTGGCTGCAGTCACCAGGATGGGAGCCTGGGGAAGGGGTGTGGGGGAACGGCTACGCTGGGCATTTACAGAAAGTGAGTAACTGTACACTAGGCACTGTAGGGAAAGCCACTGCTGGATGCAGGCAGCCCCTTCCCTCCCCCATCCACACAGACAGGAAAGGACGATCCTGGTGGTGTGGTGCATGCCTGTGGAGGTGGAGGAGGAAGAACTGGGAGTTCAATATCTGTCACACAGTTTGAAAAGTCTAAAAAACCCAAATCAAGACCAACCAAGCAACCAACAAAAACCAAAGCAACCCTGAGCATTAAGAGCAATGCTGGGGGGAATACTGTACCAGATATTAAAATGTATTACAGTGTCACACAGTTTGAAAAGTCTAAAAAACCCAAATCAAGACCAACCAAGCAAGCAACCAACAAAAACCAAAGCAACCCCTGAGCATTAAGAGCAATGCTGGGGGGAATACTGTACTAGATATTAAAATGTATTACAAAGCTATAGTCATAAAAACAATATGGCACTGACACAAAAATAGACCCGTAGATCAATGGAACAAAACTCAAGACCAAAATATGAGTACATGCAATTTCAGCCACCTGATATTTGACAAAGGGGCCAAGAACATTCACTGGAGGAAAGACAGCATGATCAGCAAATGGTGATGGCAAAACTGGATCTCCACCTGTAGAAGAATGAAACTTAACACCTCTTTCACCCTGCACAAAAGTCAACTCTAAATGGATCAAAGACCTCAGTGTGAAGCCCAAAACTCTGAAACTGTTAGAAGAAAACATTGGCAATAACTTACAAGATA